CGAGATATTCTCTACATTTAATGGTATTTTATGATATAGAAGGCGCAAGGAATATAAGGCAGCCAATCGAATACTGTTGAGCGGGATGCTTGCTGATTCGGAATTTTCCTCATTTGAGAAGGAACCTGTTTAGGAACACTTACTTGAATGCTGGCCTAAATGAGGTGCCTTTGGTATCTGTTACAGCTTAGAACTTTCGGAACAGCATTCTTGTCCTTTGCGTGAGACCATAAACTCCAGCTTTCTCAGAGCATGTGCATGCCTTATGCTAAAATTTCTTTATCATTTATAATTTACGTAGGAGTAAAACCATTATCAATTCAGAAGTCAAACAACAAAAATCGGCGTTATATTTTCAAAATTTTCACAGGATTAGTTTCGATGGTTTTACCGAACCACCATCCTCAGCTGCAAAACCGCAAAAATGCGCAAAATGCATGGTGGTGGTGGCTGAGGATGGTGGTTCGGTAAAACCATCGAAACTAATCCTGTGAAAATTTTGAAAATATAACGCCGATTCTTGTTGTTTGACTTCTGAATTAGTATTTGTTCGGCGTGTTATTGTGTCTTAATCATTATCAGTTATTAGATGCAGCAAATATTCCGAAGTTTTCTTTCCGAAATTAAAGGCAACTTCGAACTGTTGTTGGGAAGTACTGGATAGAAAGACTTCATTGAGAAAAATTTATGTTGACTAAATGGGTATTCATTTTGCAGTGTCAAAGTAAAAAGGTTTTTCTTTATAATACAATACGCTATACCGAGCAAAACCTTAGTACAAATAGAGGCATTCCGTAATGTCGACCCGAGAGTTGAGATACTGAGATTCCAGTGTATTCTTGCATTTATTCACGCTATTAAAATGTTCACACTTAGGTAAGCCCAGAGATTTTGAGTTTTATTTGATAATATTTTGCCTATTTTTGCCTTGCAATTTGTTCTGATTATTTACAGTTAATCTCTGTGTAATAACATTTTTTCGGCTAAACGAATCTTTTAAATCTCTTGCTCCTGAAGAAAGAGGACTTTTCTGTGATCACTCTCAAGCACGATAGAGTTTAGTTTCAAATTTATGTCGAATTAAGGCTATTTTTGCCAAATTTTAATTAAACAGTTTAATCTCAAATATCATATACGCTCAAACAGCCATACCACTCTTGTTATTAATAAAGGCAGAGTATCACGCTTGTCATTATTAAATGTTTGAGTCCAGAGACTCGTTGTGACAATTATTTGTCTACTCCTTCAATAACTGGAGTAGACAAAGTCTACAAAGTCTTTGACAAAGGAAACGAACGTATGATAGATAACTACAATTTGCGTTTCGTTAAGTCGAGTTAAAAAAAGAACGCACTTTCAAACATTTAATGTAAGAACATGTCTTAAAATAATATTTGAGATTTTTGAACGTGCAGACTTCCCTCTTTTATTAAGCTTTGCTTAGTAACATTTATGTTACAGTACAAAGTTTTTAATTTCTTCTATTAGACTGTAGAATAGTACTATTAGGGAAAGAAAAACATTTTGTACTACTTTCAGTTTTCCTACTTTAAAATGCCTAAAGACTTATCTTAGTTACCTGGCATTTAATGTCTGCCAACTAGAAGTGTAATTTGGAAATACGTAGCGGCATTTATTCTTCCTTCCATGTAATTGTTTGTATTAGTTTCTAAATCTGAATTCCCAAGTATGACTGAAAATTTTCAGTAGATAATATTTTAGTTACCAAAGAAGCAGTAAAATGCCTGAAATGGAACCTCTATTTTATATTTTATTATACAGTAGATCGTCAATTAGGGGTATATTTTGATATAAAAGTTTGAGGTAATCGATAAATAGGTTCGCCTCTATTTTTGTAAGAATCGAAGATGAATATCAACTCGAGCAGTCATAAAGCAGCTGAAGACCGTAAAATATCCTCTTCTTTAAATAAAAACAAAGCCATATTGTTAATGCATTTCAAAAAGAGGAAGTTTTTTAAGCAAATATATAGTAAGTAAACTCTCGGTAAATGTAATTACAAAGATTAATATCATAAAATGAGCAATGCGTAATAAAAGTTACTCTCCTCTAAATTCTGTAACATAAATAGATCTAACTAATTAAATCGCGAGAATATCAGTAGGTTATTGTTATCTTAATTCTCGATAGTAATGCTGATAGGGTTAGCTTTAAGCTCTAAGTGGTTTTATCCACTTGCAACAAATATATCGTAGTATAAAAATTCTCAGTATACATACACTGCAACATCTACCTTAAAACATGAGCCGTTCTTTCTTTCTAGAAGACATTCTTCCTTTAGGCAGGCAGCTTTGGAGTTCTATGTTGTATTTAATTAATAAATCAAACAACTGTTGCAATGAAAATGTGCAAAGAATAAGATATACATTCAACTACTGATTTACCGGAAACTGCTAAAATAAAAGTTGGTTTGCTGTGGAATGATGGAAATATTAATTCAGAAACCATCAGCGTAAAACAAAATTGCCTATAGAAAATACGGAGAGGGAAAGAAAACTGTGCGGAATAACAGCACTAATAGCCAAAAATATAGTATTTGGAGCTGTAATTTAGGAGCACCTAATTTAATTATGTGTGATGCGGAATATATCATTGATTCTAGAAAAATAGATCGTGAAAAAATTCGTGCATAAAAAAAATCTGTTAGAATATTTGGATTATTGCAGAAAAACCTTTTTATCAATAATCCAGGTATGTTAACGGACATTTTTTCACAAGTTTAAACTCAATGCATAGCCAAATTTCTCTTGCAAGTTTTTCTCTTTAATGCAGTTTTTAACTTACCTTTTTTTCTTAATTATGTTTATTCTCCATTATTTACAGTGTACTATTTCTGTACTGAATAGGTTTTTGTTTTAGTATTTGTTTAATTTACTTAATAAACATTTTCTCTAGATTAAAATGCTTGAAAATACGAATAAATTGCCAATAATAATACATTTTTATTAATTTCAATATTGGTTATGACTTTTTCCTTTGCTTTTATAATTGCGCCTGAATTAACCGTGATTTTGAGTTATATCCGAATGGGTTATTGGTGAAATCATCGCGCATGGAAACGCTGCGGAAAAAACAACGCAAGGCGAAAACGTCGTCATACAAAACGTCTTGGGAGAAAAGAAAGCAAGAAAACATTGCAGTTCAAAAGCATCGTAGTACAAAACATTGTCGTCGAAAATAAAACTCTTAAAAATATCTCAGTTTTAAAACATTTTCGTCAAAAACATCGTGGTGAAAAACAAAGCACCTGCAAATCATCGCATGTCGATAACGTCTCAGACATGCGTTTTTCAGGTTTTTAAATGTTGTAAATAAATATTCGCATAATTATTTGAGAACGCAAGAAAGAATGAGGAATATTTTTACTTTTATATTTAAGTCGTTGGAATATAAGATAAAGGCAGGCAAATTGAAAAGATCTACGTTGCTTGCTAAATCTGAACTATTGTTACGTGTATGGCTGTCAGACCTTAACGTATTTTGAAAGTTTGGTGATTTTTCTCTAAGGTGGCTGGTTTGGTTTATTTGTTTATGGCAAAGCACGCTAGGGCTACCTGCCTAAGGGAAGGGATGCCTTTGTGGATGTGATTTTAAGAGCAACGGCTCGTATACATGTTAGACATGGGGAAAAGTACGAAACGCCCATACAGCCAGCCCGTTCGCCTGGAACCGAATCCAGGTTAAACTACAAGTATTGAGTGCCATTTTAATGCCTGGCCGCTGATGAACCTTTAAAATGGTTACGTTAATAAGGAATTAGCTATTAAACTTTTGACAACTTCCATATACTTCTTTGGTTTTGGTAAGGAATATGGGGTCCTTTTCTTTTAATCATCTGCTGATTGCCAGATGATAGCTTTATCTCAATCAGAATTTAACGTAAAGAGCTCACATTTCTCCGTAACAGTAACTGTTATTAAATGGAGAATGATGATGTCTCCATTTAATGACAATGATTCTTTATTTGCAGCCAACTCATAAAAAGTTTATCTTCTAATAGAGAAGTTTTTAGCACCAATAATAATACTCGTTACCAAAAAATTAATATACTAAAATAATGTTTATTAAAGATAATATTCAGTATACAAATCTAAGGAAATGTAAATGATAATGACCTCGGAAACTTGTTGATTTTTTTTTTTTAATTCTGAACGACTGGAACATTTAAAGATATCTGTCGGAAACTAAACAAGGTTGACAATGTCCGATGGAGATGTCAGTTCAGGGCTTACATGAACGTATCAACATTTGATGGTAGAAATTTAAAAGTGTAAGCATTTAATATAAAGCACGGCCGAATGCAATCCCACGCGTAACTCATTACTTGTGAACAAATGCTTATTGTAAATGCATCAGCAAGTAGGACTTTGATGTACTCGGTGCATTTATAAGGTATTTTCTCCCTCCTTTCTACATGCCTTCGTGGTGTAATGGTAGCACATTAGGCGCGTAGTCGAGAGGTCCAGGTTCGAGTCCCAGTGAGGGCACTGCTCATTTTTCACGTCCCCTGCTTAAAATAACCAAATGTCTCTACACATTTTCCTCTAAAAATTTGAATATGCTTGCACCTTCTTAATCTTTTTTTAGTTCTTTACGTGACTAATTAGATTCTATTGAAAATTTAAAGATGCCTTTAACATTCGGTCCTGTAAACTTAGAAAAGTTTAGTAACGATTTCTGTTCTACTGAAGTTTAATATCACCTCTGCTTATAGATGCCTATTTGCGTAAGTTTGAAGCTTCGACTTTACACAAAAACATTTATTTACTAGAAATTATTTTTGAAGTGACATGTTTCTCAAGTTAGAAATTTCTCTGACGTGAGAATGCCCTTTTTAATATTATTAGAGATAAATTTCCTTGTGCAAAATTTATTGAATGAACCAATTATCTTTCAGAAATAAAAATGTCCGAAGAAGTTTTTAGGAAATCTTTGCAAATTTAAAAGATAAAAATACTTCGAAAATTTTTGCAACTTACATCTTCCACCATGATTTGCCTGGGTCTTCCTTGGGCAGTTGAATACTCTTGGTATTGAGAAGTCACGCAAAGAACGCAATATACCTAAATAAATATAAGAACTTGTTTACAATACTTGGTATTCATAATGGAAAATGTACCAAGAGAAAATTCGTTAAGTTAAATGGTTATGAAGTAATATCTCATAACCGTTTTACTAGAATAAAGTGAGTTATAAAGTGATTTCTACACAGGGTGGTTCAAAACTATATGTCAAAATTTTAAAAGCAGGTATAGGAGACCAAACAGATTCGTATAGGAATGTGCGTGCGGTAATGCCGCGTTCAGCAGGTAAGAATGTATAGGGAGCGATTCTACAGGGAGGTCGTACCTGAAATTTTGGTCGATGTTCTTCCAGCTGCTCGCAGACGAATGTGGTTCCAGCACGATGGAGCCACAGCTCACTTCAGCCGGAACGTCAGGAATCATCTGGATAGGACGGGGAGGGCCAAGTTTCCTGGCCACCTTGTTCTCCTGATTTAACCTATTTAAATTTCTTCTTTATTAAAGGCCTCGTGTACCAGAGTCCCGTCACATATGCAGATCTTGTTGCCCGGTTGTCTGTTGCTGCAGGACATAGGCTCGACATGCCTGACGTCTTTTCTAATATACGCCGATCTATGCGCCGCAGCTGTGAATCTTGTATCGCTGTTGGTGACCACTGTTTCAAGCATCTATTGTAAATTGAAAATATTTTTAGTCCAAAGGGTGCCTGAAGAACTATTGTATTCGTTTTGGCACTTTGCGTCGAATCACTATAAACGGAGTATCACTTTTCAAATTAATGCCACCAAATATTAGAGCCCTGTATTATATTTGAAGAAATTAAATAATGAAGAGTCAGCATAAATGTATGTATGTTTCTCGCATTGTGATAAAACAAAGGTACCTAGAACCATCCACTTTTGAATGACGTAATCATACTGCGAATATGGGCATCTGAAAGCCCAAATTTGAAATTTGGAATTATCGATTTAATATTTTGTAAAACTTTAACGAATTTCTGATTAACAAACTTAACGATTTAAAAGCGAGCAATGGCAACACTCTACCGCGGGGGGACTTTTTATCTCCAGCACGCGGAACTGTGTATCGGAAATCCTAAAGATATCCTCATTTTAAAATTATTTTGCGACATTGCTGTTGAACTAAATTTTACGGTTTAAGTGCAAAGAATACGATATTTAATAAGAAAAGTAACACATAAAACGCTAAAAAAACACCCCTTTGGACGTAATTTAAAATCTGAAACATTTCAGATTTTTTTTTCTTTTTCTTTACTTGTCTTTTCGGTTTCCTGATATTCATACTGCTTTACGTTCTAGCGCTTTAATGCTGCATTACCACACACACGTTCCTGTACGAAATTTGCTTATTTAGGTTCCCTCTACCTGCTTTCACATTTTTTACATATAATTTTGAACCACCCTGTAGAGATATTTGCAGCTAAATTCATAAAGCTTCGATTTAACTGCATTTAATATATTCTATAGCAATGTATTTAATAGTTTTCCATACATTTAACAGCTATACAACGGTTTTTTAAACGAAATTTTATACATAATACAGATTAGAAAAATTAAATCAAGTCTAAAATTTCACTGATGTAACTAACATAATCTGTCTTAATGCTAATGAAAGTAAAATTTACAAAGCAGATTTTAGTAAAGCTGTGAATAACTGCATCTTGGTACCATATACAATTTCTCCATTTCACGGATGTGCTGGTTAGCTAGATATAAAAGCCAGATTTAATTTTCCATCTTCTTAAAACAATGGACCTGAAATTTATTTTAATGGTAGTGGCAACAAGTAATACGCACGGGACTAATACAAAAAGATAGATGATAAATGCTCTACTTATTTGCGTAGTGATTAGGAAAAGCTTGAAAATCTGAGTGACATTAAGCACAGAAGACCGAATAAAAAACAAAGATCCTTTTTGTTTAAGATAATATCTCTCTTCTATTAAATAGAATTTTTTTTAAATTTAGTTCACTGTGTTAATGCGTGATTTAGGAAATTCCACGTACACTCAGATGGTACCATTAAATTAAAAATTACTAATGCTATGATTAAAAGACCGCCTAATTTTTCGTTATCATAATTGCTACAATAACATTTACTACACTTACATTCAGAGCAGAAATAATGATATCCGTTGCTATAAGAACGCAAAAGAAGGGATCAGCTTCCTGTAAATGAAAATTCAATCATTAATATTTTGTCATTTTTAATAAATATGAGAACAGAAGATTTGAATAATAAAAGGGAGAACATAAGTTTGAAGTTTCTATCAACTTCAACAACATTCATTATAGAAAATTAATGTATTAAAATATTAATTATTATTTAAAGATTACATCAATTACACAAACCTGCAAAATATAAATGATAACAACACTGAAAATTTGCTGAAAACTTTTTAAATTCTGAACAAGTAAAGCATTTAAAATGAATAAGCAAATGGGCGGAATAAAGTGCCCTTTGCTCCGCATATTATTTTTTACATAAATGCGCCCATTGATCCTCCCTTCGTTGCCGAACATTTTTGCTCCAGAAGAAGAGGAACCTGCGTTCTGATCGCGCTTGATATATATTTATAATTAAGTGGAATTAATTTTAAATCTACGCCAAAATGAGGCTAGTGTTTTTCTTAATTTTAAATATTCGTTTGTTTAGATCATTTGCATGATTTTATTGGGATTTTATATCCGGGTACTTTATTTGCCTGCATTCTACACTCTTACAACATTAATGAACAATAAACATAACAAATATTACTTTTCCTAAAATTCATAGAAATACACATATCATGTAGATTGTTTATTTTTTAATCTGTTTATGTGTGTTATTTAAGTGTTACGAATTTTGTATACATGTAAGTAATTTTAGTGAAATTATACTTGAAATTATAGTATGTCTTGTGTAATATAACAGGAAGTGCCCCGAAAAAATGAAGCCCTGCCGGAAAAATAAGATTACAGGATCAAGTCTATTCAAAAGTGAAGTAAATGACTATCTCTTTAAAATGGCGAGATATCGCCAAGCCAATGATGGTCTTAGAGACTAATTTTTGTCGCCAAATTTGGCGAGAAATTCGTAAAACTTGGCAACCGTGTGAAGCGATTTGGTTCCAGTCTCTGTATAGCTGTAATTGGTCCTTATATGTATCTGGCCCTTACATATAACTTCAAACGTATCTGCCTTCCAATAATTTCGAGTAACGGAAGGTATTAAAGATTTATCGGTGCTAGAAAACTATATAAGAACGAAGGGAGCACCATTTTCTGAGATTTTTAGTCCAAAGTCGACTTCGGAGTATTGAGATATCTCCGTGTGAGCTTCAGTCTTTAGATGCGCTTTGCTTTGCGTTGTGTTTAAAGTTCTTAGTAGTTTGAAATATAACTACTGATTGTTCTGTGTGATACAGAGAAGAGCTGTACGAGTATTTTTGTGGAAAATTACAGAACTGTAACGTATTTCTTTCGGCAAAATAAATTTTATCAATCTATCATCGATTCTGTGGGCATTCAATCCATTACGAATTCGTACCTACGCAACAATATGGCCATTATTTAAAAAACAAATAGAATGTATAAAAAGAGTACAGATGAAGTGAATGTGATCTGAAGATGAATGTAAGGTTTACGGGGTGTTCTGGCATAAGATAGTAGCATCGTGGTGTTAAGATAGTAGCAGCTTCATAAGAAACCTAAATAGTATTGTACGTTCTCCTTCATATTTCTGCGAATAACAACGTTGATTTTTACCAAGAGCTTCCCGTCTTTTAAAAAGCAGTAATTGTCTTTGTTTTCAAGATTATTCAAAACTGTATGTTATTTAGAATATATTTATCATTATATCTAAGCCACGTTTTATTTTGTGCACCACCTTTTTAGACACTAAGACAGACATCAAGATTCTTCCAATCATCAGTACACACAAAAAGATACAAATTTCCGCTGTTATGTAATTTTTGAAAATACGCACGCGCGAAAAACTATGAATATTTTATTAATTTCTTATTAAATTTACATGTTTTTTCAGCCTTTCAGAATGGTGTACTCCCATGACTCAGGAACTTAATGTATCATTCAATCATTATCTTTTGTAATCGTTATTAGAAAGCTATTAAAAGTATCCTCTGCTACTGCAGCGTAAGAGGACACAAAGGTTCAGAAGATCTCATCCTTATATCCGCGCAGTTCTTAGTGCTATATTTCTGACGGTGTAGAAATCTGGACTGCTATTATTAGAGAATCCGCTCTAAAATATCGCTCTGCTTCCTTCAAATCGGACTACATTCATTCATAAATACCGTATTGTAAGTGCTATATTCTCTCCAAATAATTGAATGCCTGTTAACGGGTTGCACACTAATGATAAGAGAACAATGCTCCATTCATTTTGTTCTATCTGAGATGTTAGATGCTCCTTAGCCACGGTCTGCGGACGGCACACTGGACCTCAATTAAAGAAACCCACCCAAAAAATGTATCTGTAAGTTATCCGACTAACACCATGAAGTTGGTTTCTAACAATTTGATTTGGAACACTGATATCAGTAGCCCTGGAGGGCAACTGGCATCAATGTTTTGATGGGCATCACGAAATTTTCTAACAAGTGCTGTTGCAAAAGAGCAGCTTTTATAATGCGGTTTCTTTTGGCTGTCAATGTTAAAATCTCTTTCATTTTGTGCTATTGCTAACTGACTATCTCTACCTGGTCTTTGCTTAACATTTCCAGTTTTCAAAAACCAATTTCATAGTCTGTAAATAACATTTTGGAACACTCAAGGGCTTCTGCAACACGGGGTTGGGTTCGATCCATTTCTGGACGACTAATGGCACTCCAGAATACCAATTCAGTTAACTCTTGTTGTTGGCATCCAATTTATGGCTAGGAAGCATTCAGGACATGCCGATTGTTTCTAATGTCCTCTAACATTATAAATTCTACAAGGTACTGTTTACTGCTTAATAAAAACGCTTAATTTTCACCTGGCAAAAGCGATACATTTTCTATTTAATCTCTTTCCTTTTCTTATCTCAAAATCTCTTGCCGATTATGTAGCTATTTCATACCGAACTCCCAATATCTGTTAACTGTTTTAGCACAGTACATGTAAGTTTTTATATCTGTAACACCAATTTATTTTTTTTTTTTTTGTAACATTCCTTTAAAAGCGCAATCATGTTGTACGTGAGTAGGTGTCTTATATTCTTTTTTCTGCAATGTAATGACTTCTTACGTGATCTGTCAGATTTTTAACACATGCAATACATATTATGTTCCAAATAATTGCATTAATTAATTTTTAATTATATTGTAAACATAATCCTTCAGAGTGAGAAAGCAATCTAATCATAGTTTTGTCTGGTATCGAATTTTAAATTAGACTGAAGAACTTACAAACGTTGTAGATTTTCAGACTGATTTATAAAAAAACGCACTTAGCTATAAATTCCTCATAAAACATTTTAAGTCCGTCAGGAATTTTTCTTACTAACAATTGTTTCTTATATTTTTAGCACTCATCCATTAACTCCAAAATTCTTACACTGGAAAAATAGTTAATACGAAGTACACTAAATTTTTGTATTTATTTTTACGCAGCAATCTACAGTTTTTCATCAGAAAGGTGCTAGCATTTTAATTAACAATTAATTACCATCTAGAGCCTGGAAGTTTCAGTTTTCATTGTAAAATTTTTTAAATATATACTTAAATCTCTATATAAATTAAGGACAGTTTAAAATGAAGAACAAAAGATTAAAACCTTTTTGTTACTCACCGTATCAGTGATAAGATAAAGCGACAGTATGATGTCAAGAATTGTTGTCATGGGGATACTGAGAATCCATGGTATTAAAAGTATCTTGTTATTCTGTAAAGAGAAAAAAAGGGTTTGAAATTTACTTACCTCGTACACTTTAAAAACTCCCCGTAAAATATTTATGAACATTTTATGTCAAAGAAAGCTTTTGAAGGAGAATTTTCTTTCAGTTTGGTGCATCCTTGATGTTATTTTATATTAGAAACTGTTTTTCCACACATGCACACCAAAAACAATAATTGTGCTTAGTTTAAAAAACGTCGAATATTTTTTGCTTGAGGCAAGCTACTAGGATTATTTGCAAATGCCAATGCGCAGCATTAATGTATTAAAGATAATTTTACAGCAAATGTTTTTTCCACACATTCACACCAAAAATAATAATGGTCTCTAGTTTAAAAAACATCGAATAGTTTTGGCTTAAGGCAAGCTACTAGGATTATTTGCGAATAGTAATGCGCAGCATTAATATACCAAAGACAATTTTTGATAACAAATGTCAATTGTATGATATAGAATAAATTATCCATAATTCATAAAAGGATTTTACGTTTAATAGAGAGAAATAATAAAGCTTGGATGGAAAGTTATCTCATTGATGTAAGTATTAAAAGCAATTTAGATTACTTTTATTAAAAATTTACACAGATGGATGAAGTCGATTCTTTATTTGTTCTCCAAACAATTGATATATTTTTATAATACCAGTTTCATTTTGGTGCACATTTTTAAAAAATGTCATCAGTAAATTGGTAGATACTACATCAGACCTTAGCTCTTAAATTAATAGTTAAATCTCCAGATGACAATAAATTTTATTTCTGATACTAGATAACTGAAAATAATGCATTAACCTTTACTTCCTCAAATACTTATTGATTAATTTTAGAATTCAGAGGAAGGAACTATTTCAAATAATAATTTACAGTATTATTTATTTGTAGAACTGTGTGATAATATAAGCATGAAGTCTGTCTTATTTTTTTTTCAAATATTAATTTGTGAGAAGTATACTAACACTACACAATACTGTTCGTTTACATGAAGAGTGAGGAAAAATCCGTTATATTAATGACAATTAGTTAAAACATAAAAACTTGGTGAGTATATAATGCGTTACAAGGATCTGAAGATTTTGAAATTAAAACCAACACGGTAAAATGCAACTCAAATATTTACTTATTTTGCAAAACAACACGATATACAATGCCATTCTTATTTTCAGCCTCTCATATTTTATCGACATAGTTTTCAAATGTTCTCCGTTATTTGTAACATCCTTGTACTGTGTTTATTCGCTTAACTATAAATGTTTAATACACCGTTACTTTGTGTTCGTTAGTATTCCTAGATTTCTTTAGCTCATAACTGAGCCTTTAGATAGGCCCAGAGAAATTGCTCGTTTACTGAAACTCTAGAAACATGTACTCCATTGTGGTTACTTTTTTCCCCAATGGCGGGCACCTGCCTATAACGGCACTCGTCACTGCCGAGGCCAGAAGTGGTGACCATTTTATTGTGGAGGCACCTAATAGGCTGCCACCTTCACCTCCTATGAAGGGACAGACAATTTTACATCCATACTTTCTCCGGTATTCGAACCTGTGCCCTTTGGTATTGCAGTCAGGCTCCACTAACCACTGTGCCGTCTGGGCGGCTCCCGGTTACTTGAATGTGGCAAACCACAGGACGGCTACCTGCTTAAAGGGATGGATATCATCGTTTTCTAAGGGAAAAGAATTGTATTCACGTTACGCATGGCGAAAACCACAAAACTTCCCATGCAACTAAACCGTTTGCCTGGGATCGAAACTGGGCTCAATTACTAGCATTTAACGGTTCAATATGGCCAATAGTGAAGCTGTTCTCCTTTATTCCTTTATAAATCAGACGACAAGGAAGTAGTTGGTAAAGCACAGATATTACTTCTATAACGGAATGCGTGGTTTCCCTTATTTATGGATCAGCAGTACTGCCTCCTGAGATCTGTGGTATTACTCACCTTGAAAAATCACCAGATTGTGGAAAGAACATTTGAAAAATATTTTGCGTAAACATTAAGAAAGGAATGACATTGTTATATTAAAAATATTGTAAACCTTATTATATGGTAAAATCAATAACTTCTTGAATTACGTTTCATAATCTTGGCTTCTTGTGACCTATCTTGTAGTAGCAAGTATATTTTAGCTAATAATAATTACAATAATATTACTAGCAACAAAAATGTATATTTCTTCAGCTAATAGAATGCATGCAGAATGTTTTATAGCTATAAAATCAAAGTGTGTACTATGTAATGAAATAAAATATAGTAAAGACTTCGGAAATTATTTTTAAACATTAGTCAAAAACGAACATTTTGAAATTAAAAGTATTAAAATCAATTTAATATTCATAATATGAAAAGCAAAATGGTAACTATATCATCTATTATAAAAAAGGTGAGACATAATTATATTATAAAAAGATAATTAAGATGTCCATTATTTTTAGAATTGAAATTCTCAAGAAACAAGCTGTTATAAGGTTATACTTAGTCTAGTCTGCTACTTCAATCCAGTAACCCTAACAGACGTGTAGCAAGTTGTCGCTATGTCTAAGATAAGACAAGAAAACTACCTTTTGATTTAGACAGAACTTTGAATATAAAGGCACGGCTTTGAGCTACTAGTAACCAAGCTCGTGGCAACGGAACTGAAATAAGAGCGGTCAATTCAAATTAAACTTTGATCAATAGTCTAAGACCACACAGTTAAATAACCAACTTAAGCTGGTTCAATAATTTACTAGCAAGTCAGATTTAAAATATTGGCGGCGAGAGAGCGCAAAACCGAAATAATTAAACTGAGGTATCTAAGGTATCTAACGACGTAACGCTCAATGCCAAAAACACACAGATTGAACATGTTTGTTCAAATTGTAATAGTGTTCTGTCCGTGCGTCACTTTTTTATTCAATGTCCTCATTTTAACCGATTTCGATTAAAGTATTTCAGCGACTATGACTTGCCTCTTGACCGTATTACCGGGAAAGATATAAATGACAATTTGTTTCATTACCTGGAAGAGACAGTTTTTTTATTATTTAATTTGATTTTTAAATGTTGTTTTTTGATATTTTAATACTATACATTTTAATGCATCTCATGTTTTTAAATGTTTAGTTATGTTTCGTATTTAAAACCATGCGAGGTTTATATATTAGTTTATTTCAGGATGCATTATTTTTTCACAACATTTCGATTTTATAAGTGTGCTTTGGTTTTAAATTTGTGCTTGTTTGTATCTTGTACTTGTGGCCTATTTAATTTGGTATGTTTTTGAATGTTTTGAATGTTTTTGAATGCGTATATAATCATAAAGGGTTTGTGCCAGGAAATCCGCTACTACCACTCTCATGATCCAAAACCTTCAGCTTAAATACCCAAGCAACTAATTTGTATTCTGGTGAGGAAAACGGAAAGAATTTAAAGTACGGATCCAAATCATAATAACTGGTTATTTTAAAATAAGACCCTTATACTGTACTAAATTTATTTCATGGCTCAGTTAATGAAATTGATTGTTTAGGTCTACCTATGAGTGTTTTCGTCAGCCATAAACACAATTTTTTGCTAGAAGGAAGATTCTTAACCTTTCTTTTTAAATTAATTTACTTGCTGAACGAAGAAAGCGTTTTCATCAAATGAAATCGGTTTACACTTTGCATGGTTTCATTTTATAAAAAAATGTATTTTGCGTAATTACAAATTTATTTTATCTAGCATCCAATTTATATTTTATATTATGACCTTATTAGTTGATTATAAGACTTGAGATATTTTATCTCTTTTTTTTTATTTGAAGAAGATAAAAAGACTTAAAATATTCAAAATCCAGATAAATACTCAACTTTAAAATACTGTGGTAATAAAAAATTCAGATTTTCTTATGGAGAAAGATTAATGCAGTTTGTAAAAGAAATTACTAAAGTTTTTAAAAAAGTGTTAAAACAAGAAAAGAATTTAATTTTGTAGTCGAAAGCAGTTTATTTCTTTAAGCATTATTTTAGCAATTTATTTTTCCCCTTTCTTAAAGATTCTCCCTTCTTTATGTTTAATTACATTACTGTCCCATGGCATTTGCATTAAATACAAGAAAATAATGTGAAGCATTTTTCCAACAATAGTAATTAATACAGTAATAATGCAAAATAATGATATAAAATAAAATATGGCTGAATTGTGATCAGGAGCTTTTATGACATCAGCTTAATGGAAGACGAAAATATACCATTAAGCAGGTCTCGCCTCTATAATGCATAGCATAAATGATGATTTAGGAAATAAATGGCTAGTGTCTCATATTAAAATGCATTAATTATTTCTATATTATAAAGCATAGCAGTATAAGATTATGAAGCATTTCTGTACTCACCGTGCAGAGTCCAATAATAAGCAGTATCGAAGATAACACAGACAATGCTGCGAAAGCCACCATTAAAATACTGAAGGTTATTAGAACTGGCAGCGGTACTGGAAAGAAATACAATGAAAGAAATATTCAAGAAACTATAGCTTAAATCATGAGTGGAAAAGCATTGGTTAATGTAATGATAGATAAATATTTGTTCAGGAAATATTCAATTATCTAGAACTGATACTGAATGATTTCTATTTTCTTAGCACGAATATTTTATTCGACGTCTGCCGTGTTTACTTACTCTTAAGTATTTGATAATTTAATTTTCAAAACATTTTTTACCCGCTACATGATGCTTAAATCTCATATATTGTTTGTTTAAAACACGTTCACGTTTGTTCAAAACGTCGTGGAGAAATTATGCATTTTTGTTTTTTAGCTTCCTCATATTTTGATAATCTCTCTGTGTTTCGTTGCCTTCATGGCACTTTTGAATTAGAAATAATTACGGTTAGCCGTTAAATAGCTTAAAGATGATTAAAATGGAAAATTAAAGTTTCGTTCAATAAGTCAGAACAAGAGTTCAGGCATGAATAAACTGCACATGATTGCAAGGTGTTTTAGCAGATTTTAATGACTTTCTTCAACATTTTCCTTGTCAAAGTGTAAACGCGGGTTCTATAGTTCCCCTTGTATAATTCATTTAAAACTTAGCGATATGTATAAGAATTTTCCAAAATTTCTTGATACTTCGTTACTAGTAACTTATGCATACATTTCAAAACAATTTTATATTACATTGGAGGAAGCTATTCTCTAAAACGTTAGTATAAAAACGCATATATACATAACCAACAAATGCATGGAAATTCAATGATGTCGCTCTCTTAATGCAACAAACATCATAAAAGCCTACTTTAACCTCCAGTCACATTCAAAACTGAACATGTCTGAGTGTACATTAAGGATTTAGAAGCGAAAAAAATATATGTGCAGCAGTGTCAGTGAAAAGACATTACGCATCACAGCGATCAAGAGGGCATATATTCCGTGATACTCTTAAATAAAATGAAAACTTTCCTTTTTGTGAAAATTGCTTTGAATTTTATTTTTGTTATTTGAAATAATACTGAATTTGTTGCATCTGAACATCTTAAACATATTAAAACGTTATAAGGTATGTCTCCCACTTTCCTAGGGTGCCTTCGTGGTGTAGTGGTCAGCACACTGAGCCGGTATTTCAGAGGTCCATGGTTCGATTCCCGGAGAAGGCGATTGATAATTTTTCATCTTTCCTGCTTCAAAAAAGAATTCCTAATGTCTTTACAGTGGCGCCCGAACTAAAAGGGTGTTGGATGAGGATTCTCCGCACCCAGGATTTGGCGATTGTGTCCCCTAAATCCCCCCTTTAAAAAGGGAGTATATAAAGGTATGTCTCCCACTTTCCTAGCGTGCCTTCGTGGTGTAGTGGTTCTGCACGCTGGACCTATATTTTAGAGGTCCGTGGTTCGATTCCCGGCGAAGGCGGCTGCTATTTTTCACCTCTCCGGCTTTTGCAATTAACCTAATGTCCCTACAACGTCATAAAAAGTGCTTCTTATATAAAAAAATCGCTTTCTTTTTAAATTAAGTTTCATCCATTTATAAATAAAATTTTATACTTAGAGCCATGTATCTTATCAATAACTAAGAACTAGAACTTAATTTCTAAAGAAAGCCTGTCATTTGAGGCAATCATGAAAAATTACGTGTTAAAGCATCTTCAAAACTGTAATATGATCTTCATATTCACAGTTCTGTTTACCTTTATTATGTTTTAAGCGTTAAAAATTAGTGATAGGCCTAATAATCTGAAAATTAATTCCTAGAAATTGATCATACAAAACATAAAAAAAGAATATTTTAAAGTACTGTTTTCAATAGTAATGCCAAATGGTACGGAAAAATACATCTTGCAATGTTATTTTAATATCTGTTAACGCCGTATGATTTTTTTTAACTTGCTTAATAAATAAAAATATTCAAAACCTAACTGTGCATGTTTTTCTCTAGGTAGCTTGCGTGAGAGACTTTTAAAAATATTTCTCGCAAATGAAGTGTAAATTCTTTCAGATGCGATGTAGGCTTACTAAAGCAATAACACCTGATTTTTTAAGTATTCAAAATTTATTATAATTTCTATTACATTTGTTGTCTTTTCATCTTGTGTCTTTTCCTAGACTCTAAAAAAAAAAAAAAAAAAAAAAAAAAAAAAAAAGAAAAAAAAAAAAAAAAAAAAAAAAAAAAAAAAAAAAAAAAAAAAAAAAAAAAAAAAAAAAAAAAAAAACAAAAAAAAAAAAATAAAAAAAAAAAAAAAAAAAAAAAAAAAAAAAAAAAAAAAAAAAAAAAAAAAAAAAAAAAAAAAAAAAAAAAAAAAACAAAAAAAAAAAGTTTCTTATAATTAAATGCTTCCTCTATTTTAGATGGGTCTATATTGTAATTACTAAGCTAAGGATATTTAAGTAATTGTCCACTATATAATGTTATATATACTTTTAATTAATTTTACACGAAAATAATATTCCATTTTAACAGCTTTCAGTTAACAAAAGAAAATAAAAGATTTCAATTTGCAAATGCTTTTATTTTCCCAGCCTTTGATCTCAGCTATATATACATCCAATTATAAGGATGTTTTAAATGATGCAAGTATTTCTATTTTGACATCTCAAGATTTAAAATTATTAGTTTTGTAAAAATTACTTGTATTTGTTCCTCCGGTTCCACATTTAGAAATGTTTTTCCCTCATTATAAAAAAATAAAATATAAAAAGTGTGACTCACGGGCGACAAAACTTGCTTTGTCGCAAAGTATTTCTCCCGTCTTCTTAGCGTGCCTTCGTGGTGGAGTGGTCTGCACGCTAGACCGGTATTCTAGAAGTCCGCGGTTCGATTCCCGGTGAAGGCGTTGCTAATTTTTCAATCTCTCTTGCTTCCAAAAAATACTTAATGGCTCTACATTGGCGCCCGAACTAAAAGGGTGTTGGATGAGGACTCTCCTCACCCAGGATTTGGTGACTGGGTCCGCTAAAAACCCCACTCGCCCTTTAAAAGGGGGGAGTATATAAGGTATTACTTCTGCCGCCTTCTTAGCGTGCTTTCGTGGTGTGGTGGTCTGCACGCTGGGCCTGTATTCCAGTGGTCCGCGGTTCGATTCTCGGCGAAGGCATTGCTAATTTTTCAATCTCTCCTGCTTCCAAAAATACCTAATGTCTCTAAAAACTGACCAAGATATTTTATTTTAAAGTTGGAGATCATATTCAGAAAATGTACACAAATTTAAGAGCCAGAACTCAAATTTAAATATCTATCGAGAGAAAATGCTTCTGATTTTAATTGATTATATGAAGAAAATTCCTGTGCAGATTGTCATAAAACGTAGTGATCAACATGAAGGTTTTTAAAGGAACATCTTATTCACAGAACCTTATAGAACTCATGTTCTAAAAAGTACTGGCAATTTTGAGTGTCGCATTAACCAACTCGTAAAATCGTATGCATAAATAAAAACTTTTCTAGTTTCGTGAATTTTTTTGTATGATTCTTAGATTCCGTTTCTAAAATAATAGAACTTATGGGAATATTACTAGTAATGCATTTATAACTTTTGAAAACTTATCAATCACTTTTGTGAAAATTCATTCGATATACCATTTCCAACAAAATTATAAACTAAAGATTTCTGCACACTAGGAAATCATAAAAGAATATCATTAAATAGCATTTAAGGGGGAAAATTAGCCTCCAATTATTTTAATATTTAATAATAAAGCGCGTATATTATTTAATAATAAAGCACAGTAAATTATGCCAAATGTCTCAAATTTTGAAATTAAACATTTCGGTCATTTTTTCCGGTCAAAAGTTTTGTTTTGTATTTTTTAATAATGGAAATAAAATTTTTCTAAATGTAAGTACAGGGAGTACAAAAAGTTAGATTTCTGAACTTTAATAAAATTGATTTTTTAAGATTAAATCTCAAATTATGAATATTTGAAATCACTGGATTTAAAGCTCACTGGCCTTGCTTTACATCATTTCTATTAATGTTAATATATAATCATTCAGTTTAATGCTTTTGTTCTCCTTTTTAATTCGAGCTTTTCCCTGCATGTGTCTTTTAATAATGATGAAGATATAGACTCGTTAAATGAATACAACGTAAACGTCAATGAAACTTGAGAATTGTAATATTAGAATTTGAATTTTATGTATCTAAAAAGAAACTTGTCATTGTACTTTATATAAATAAATGAACAGCATACGCATTTCAGAATAAGACTTTTTAAGCAGTAGAAAAAAATAAAACAACTTCTATTTCTAGAATTTCTTAGTGAATGCACACTTTCATTCCAACGAATGTTTTGGAGAAATAAATCTTTACAGACATGTTTTCATAAGGCTTTCCTGTCAACTTCTTGGAACTGGTAAAGTAAATTCTAAGTCACAATGCATTTATGTGAATACACATACGTGTGCATGTATAAAATATTTTATATTTTCCCTTTTCTTGACGGAAATGAAGGAAAAACTGCGACTTCCAAAGCTTTCCACTTAGGCACACCCTTTTGCTTATGCAGAAACATATTTACATGGGTATCTGAGATATGAAGAACAGAAAACTTCCATCTCTCTGTAGATTTCAAATTTTACGGAAAAGCTGAAGGTAGAAATAGAGGATTCACGTGGGAAAAAAACCTTAATCACATATTGACAACGCGGAAAGTACGTATGTAAAAGGAATTGCAAAAGATACTCTTCCCTTTCCTAGAAAATCCATCCCTCTCATGAATAAAATGTTCTTACTGGATATTTTCACAATCTACGAAAGTATAATACTTTTCCTGTATGCTTTGTGCTAGAGATAATGAAAACATTGTACAGAAGAATATGTAAAATATTTTCAGCAAACACTGGTTTCTCCCGTATATGAATTTAAAAAATATCAGCTAAAGTAAAAGCAAACATTCCGTGTAAATTTATCTTTACATAAACCAAACTGCAGAATAATGTTACTATAAGAAATTTCATTTCTCGCATCACTGTTGTCAAGTCAAGGTCATATTTATCAATT